GAAAGCAAAGTAGATGCGAGAAGCGTAGTAGCTCGGGCGAGCCAGGAAGGCTGAAGGATGTCCGGTGATAGCGAGAGTACAGCAAAACGGATGTCACCCAGCGAGGGGTGCTCTGGAGTAGCTGATGGCGACCGGAGTGCCTATACCGGTACTCGGGCGGCGGGGGGCCCACAGGAGTCTAGCTTCGATTACTGCCCCGCCAATTGGTGTTGGACTCGAGGTGGCAGATGGAACAAGCCCGCATGCTGGGTTAGGGGGCTGTGCATCGGATCTCCCGGTTCGTTGTGCAGTCTCTGCATTGAACGCTTATGGGTTAGATAGGCCCGAACTTGGGGGTCACTCGCCTCGTTGACCCTCAGGCACCGCAACGGTGGCTCCCTGGGACCAATCCGTCTGACGGACGGGAGACCCCAGGGAGTCCTCTTTCATACCGTCATGGCTCAGCTGTGGTGGTTTGACGTGTGAATGTACTGTTCGCAGTAAGGTGGTGCACGTTAAATCTCCATAAGTTGTCGTAGGTGCTGTAGCGGGCCCGCGTTGGCGAGAACTTCCCGGGAAAGAAACCAAGTGGTTGCCGTTGACCATTTATCACCTGTTCAAGAACGGCACCCATAGCCGTGTCGGATGCGTCGGTGACGAGTACCAGCTTGGCGTTTTCAGCGGGATGTGCGAGGAGCGTGGCTTCGGCTAGTTGTTTCTTGCATTCGGCGAATGCCGTTTCGGTCGCTGAGGTCCATTCAATAGGCCGCTTGTCCTTCTTCTTGACGCCAGCGGTGATCTTGTGCAGGCAAGCCTGTGGCTCGACTGCGTGGGGGATGAATCTTCCGTAAAAATTCAACATTCCCAAGAATCTCCGGAGCTCCGCGATGTTGCTCGGCTTCGGAAACTTTTGGATGGCAGTTACATGTTGTGGCAATGGTTTGATTCCGTGTGCGTCTACTTGGTGCCCTAGATACTTTACTATTGGTTGACCCCATGTACATTTACTTGTTTTCAGGGTGAGACCGTAGAGTTTAAGTCGTTCCAGCAGGATGTCCAGGTGTTTGCGATGTTCTGCTTCGTCCTTGGATGCCATAATTATGTCGTCGATGTAGCAGAAGACGAAATCGAGTCCCCTGAGAGCGGTGTCCATGAACCTTTGAAATGACTGTCCGGCGTTCTTGAGACCAAAAGGCATCACGGTGAACTCGTACAAGCCAAAAGGTGTAATTATGGCAGTTTTTTCTCGGTCCTCATTGCTCATTGGGATGTTAAAATATACTCGTTCCAGATCCAGTGTCGAGAAGACGGTGCATCCGTGGAGCTTGTTGGCGAAGTCCTAGATGTTTGGGACTGCATATTTGTCTGGAACGGTCATCGCATTGAGTGATCGATAATCACCGCATAGTCTCCAGCTGCCGTCCTTCTTTTTTCGTAGGAGGATTGCGCTGGCGTATGGGCTACCGGAGGGATTTAGGACCCCTTCGGCTAACTAGACTCGGATGATCTCTTCGGCGGCTTTATATCTCTCGGGAGAGAGTCGTCGAGCTCTTGCAGTGCAAGGTGGACCGCGGGTGTCGATGTAGTGTTGAACGTCGTGCTTGGGCTCCCTGAACCTCGCAGGTCGTGTGACCTCAACGTGCTTGCAGAGGATGTCGTGGTATTCTGCGGAGGTGTTGATGGTACTGAGCGTCGGGGCATCCGTGACGGTTACCTTTCCAGAGAAAGCCATTTTCGATGATCGGGTGGGATACGTCTGCCACTACGAAAGTCCACTCGAATGGTCGACGTAGACTGAAATCGACCATCAGCCTTTGTTCTCCGAACGTCGGGATCTCGGTCTTGTTAGCGGCGTAGAGTACCCTGCTGGTACACTTATTTGAGCTGGCGTATCGCTTTGGTAGCGTGGATACGTCAGCGACCGTGTCGATCAGAAAACTGGTGTTTGTCTTGCTGTCGGTCATGAGAAGGCGTTTTGGTTTGGGGACGTCTCCTGCGGCTGCCTGGATGCACGCCGGATTCGTTAGTTTCCCTGCGGCTTCCAAGCGCAGGGTGTCCTGCAATGGTACGCCTCTTTACCAAACTTCTTATGATAATAGCATACCTCTGGTTCGTTTGTTTCAGAATTTGCTCCATCCCATGGTCTGCTGACGCTGCGTTCTCGTGACCATCCGCGTCACCGTCCTCAAGAGCGGGAATCGCGCTTCTTCGAAGCCTCAAAGTCGCTGCGTAGCTGGTTGATTGCCAGCATGATCTGACCGAGGTCGTAGGCCTCCGGTAAAATGGTCCTTGTTATATCTGGAGAGACGGACGTCGAGCGATGCGCCACGTGAACTGCCGCTATCGATGGTCGAATTGTGTCCATGATACGGTCCGCTATCTCAGCCAGGTCGGACAGGTCGGTGTTCTTGCTTACAGCCAGGATGAATTGTACTTGCTCAGGGAGTTGCTCCAAGAAGAGTGCTCTCAGGATGGCGTCGTCACATCTTCCGCCAGCCAGGTTTCGCATTTTCTGGATGTACACCTTTGGTTTCGTGTCTCCCATCGGTTGGCCCCGGAGAAGTTTCTTCATCCTCGTTTCCGCGGAGTCTGCAAGTATGTTTTGAGCGATTCATACTTGCCATCTTCCGGTGGATTGTCGATGATGTCGCCCACGAGGTCGATGAGGTCCGGTTCCAAGGTGTTGATCACGTGCCTGTACTTCGTTGTGTCTGAGGTTATCTTGTGGAGTAGGAAAGTGTTCTCTACGACGGTGAAGTACTTGGCTGGGTTTGACGACGTTCAATGCGGCCACGTGGTTGTCGTTGGTCTGCTGCTCGTTAGAGATGTTGGACTTTTCGTCGTCCGGCATGCTGAAGAAGCTGTCGTAAAAAGGGAAGTCATCGTAGTCGTTCGTGGCGTGTAGGTCCGGTTTTTTTTCGAAATCCGTAAAACACCGAAAACTGAGTTTACCGGAAAAAAAAATATCACACGGTTCCGGTCCGCTATCACGTCGGAGTCACCAAATTTATGGGTTTCGACAAAGCGAGTCCATAATAAAGCGTGATGTTAATGGATAACTATTTTATTTCCACGAGGTAACACAAGTGAAAAGTAAAAAATAATTAGTAAGACTGTTGCTTATATTGTAACCATGACAATACTTCCGGTTGTTATGTGTGTATCGCCACATTATTATCATGTGTGCTGCCACCTACACTACGTACTGAGAACCATTTTTGAAATTTGTAATATATAAAAATACAATACTGACTAATAGTTTGATTAAAAATTTTGAGGATTATGCAAAAAAAAAATAATTGCAAGCTATTTTTTTAAATTTCAAAATTTACTAATTTTTAAATGCCTGTAACTAATCTTTTTGTAAAGATAATCATACTTTGTCTTAGAGTTTTGTAAAACTCAAAGACTCAACTTTGAGAATGTGAAACGGTTTTCTGGAAAAAATTGCGTAAATTATGTGTAAATTCAATTTAAAACAAAAAAGAATTTTTCCTCTGTTAATTAAATGGGAAACTAAAATAAAAATAGCGACCCCATAGATTTGAGCTATAGGGTTCATGTTTGGCGAGGATTTTTTTTACATCAAATAGAAACATTTGAGGGGGTAAGAATTAGAAAAAAAAAATAAAAATTTTGTTTGAAGCACCCTAGTGGGTATGTCAAGATTGGGGCTACAGAGAGTGCGTTTTCAAATGTCTTTTGGCATTCGGCTGTCCACTAGAATGAAACTTCATGATATGTGGAAAATACAATATTTAGCAAGCTAGAAATAATTGATGCAAGTGGGATGATATAGGAGAAAATGAGTGTATAAGAATTATCCAACAGGTGTAAACAAGGTTTAAATATGTAGTGGAATAAAAAATTATAGGCAGAGTGGGTAGCAATATCAAACTCTTTTTTTACGGTAAAATACAATGGGAAATTATTCTAGGGTCTAATGGCGAAGAATATTTGAATAAAAGGTATAAAAAGAAAGAGAATAAGGAAATATGGGCTACAATTAGTTGTGGTAACAATTGTTCTGTTGTGGAATTACAATGCAAAATCTAACTGTACATTATACCAATATAAAACGAAAAAATACATTAGAATAAATAAAAACTTGTTCGAGTCTGCGTAAACTGAGATCGTATGCTATGTTTATTAGCCACTAGTGAAACAAATATACGCCGAATAAAAAAACGCCTTCTGCCAACACTTAGAACATTTAAGCTTAAGGATTATACATTGTGTGTGTAAAGAAAATAATTTTTTAGTTTCTTGTCACATTAATATGATGGTAGGACATATCTCTTTTTCCTCTTGGTAATATCCTGCATTTACTGCACCTATCTTAAGAAATAATACGTTACCTGCCATTAAACGAAAGCAAAATTGTGTACTTTTGCAATTATTGCATTTAACCTCCGCACCGGCGTGATACCATAGAATGAAGTGGTCTAGGGCTCAGGGGTTCCAGAGACCCTAGGGTTTTGGATAGTTCTGATCGACTTACCTAACCAGGTACTTCTCGCTACATGTAAACATTTTGTTAGAATCTTTTAAATTATTTATTAGTCTTAAATTAGATTCGATTAGATAGCTGTTAGGGCGTAACTATCTAAACAACTTTACGTTTTTTTTTTATTTGAAATATACACCTTCATTTAATTAAAATGTTCATCAATTAATTTATGTATTTCTGCGAATTTTTAAATCACCTAGGGGCGATTTTTGTAGAATGCAATTTTAAGAATGTTTTATCAAATAAGACATTCTTGGTTGAAAAAATGTCATTAAATAATTATTGTAATCCACATTAATTATATTAAGGATAAAACAAATTTTATTCAACTTGCTCATTTTTAATAATTCCGGATAATAGGAAAATTGGGATAATGTACATTGTTATTATAGAAAGTTCATAATCATAAATACTAAATAATTTAAAAAAATATATAGTGATACTAATTTAAATATAACTGTTATACACTAGAGGCAGCACTTTGCAGGGAAATAGTCTTATCCATAGACAAGGTCTTATACCTGCTTATACGGTAGAATATAAGTAAAACAAAACGTGACAGTTTCTTGTTGAGTTGAGGTTGAGGAAAATGTGGGAAACCTTAGCTCGTTAATTTTAAATTCAAAACGTCAATTTTGTATTTTGATGTTGTCATACGTCTCTTTTGAGTTTTGACAAATTTTTGCCATGCTTTTTTTGGAATTATTGATTTAAAATGGTTCATTCTTTCATTATCGGTGTTAAAGTTGCCTTCAACCGATTTACACGGTACTTAAGTTCAGGTGAATAACTGCCAAATATGTCAATTAATGTGCATGTTAAAGGGAATCCAATTAACGTTAGAAGAGGAGGGATGGTGATTACTAATTCGCAAGAAGAATTTAATAAAAGGAGGAAAATTAGATTAGAGCAGGTAAGTATGCTGAAGGGATTTGTTAAGTTTAATGCTTGGTGTATTGAAATAAATAATGGTGAATATAAGAAAAACATCTTTAAAGGTTCGGCAGCAATCGAAGGATATAGCACATAATGTGCGTAAAAGAATAGCCAAAGAAAACAATAAACAAGCTTCGTCTTCTGAGCAGCATAATTTGAGGAAATGGCAAGCTCAGAAATTACTGGAATTTGAACAGAAATATCAAGAGTGTCTTAGTAGTCTCGAAGTGCCACCCAAGATATCAACTGAAATTAGTGAAGAAATACTAGCTGCAGAAAGAAAAAGAAAAAATAGGGCAGTTGCGCTTGAACGAGGAGAAAGAGCAAATGAAAAGCTCCAGATAGAAAAAAATGAAAAATCTATGCAAAAATCAGTGCCTATTCAACAAAAAAAATTTGCCAGAGAAATTGAAAATAGCAGGTCATTGGCAATAACCAATTTTACCAAAAGGAAAAAAAGTAAAAGTAAAAATGATGAAAAAGAAATCAAGAATACATTTTATTTGGACCTCCCTAATGATTCTGAACAAAGTGGCCACCAGGAAAAAGAAATTCAGTGCACTGATGAAATTGAAGAGATGTATCAAGAAGATATGAAAAATAAATCTGGTACATCCTCGTCAGAACTTATTGACAGTTCTAGTTCTTCGACTGAAATTCCCTCAAAAAAAATTAAAACATCAAATGAAAGCAAGCAGACATCAAAAATTAAAGTTTTTCAGGCAATGGTACATAATGAGCCAAGCCCTAAAAAAAAAGGTAAAAAAGTGTCAATTTCTTCAGAATTGTCTAATAAGAAGCAAAAAGACAAAAGTAAAGATGACGAAAGTGATATTCCTAAAAAGCTTGAAATAAGAGATGAAAATTTAAATATGAAAAAATCAACAGGAAGACAAAAACTTTCAGTTCGTATTTCTGATCAATCTCCAGTATCATCCCCAAAGAAAGTTGTATTGTATACACTGCCAGAAAAATTAGTAACTCCAGCACAACAAGCTTTTTCTACAAAAACTGATTTTAAAAGGAACCCCATGAGGAATAAATTGTTTTCTGGAGTAGAAAGTGAAAAGGTTGCTGTGGAAAATGTTACAAGCAAAAGTAGATTGGAGGGAGCTTGTAAATTGCAAGATTCTTTAAGCCCTGACAGTCCTCGTTCTCCAATGATCACACATAGTGAACGATTACCAGAATTAAAACAGCAATTTATACTTGATAAACGGATTTCAGAACATATTATGAGCAGAAAATTGAATGAAGAAAAACGAAGAGACCGTGACATTCAAGTAAAAGATGATAAAAAGAATGCATTAGTGCAGAGTGATTTAAATCAAGGCCAATTTCAAACTTGTCTTTGTTCTTGCTATGGATTTAATGAGAATAAAATGGTTTCTGAGTCTGTTTATTGCAATTATCCTGAAACTTTAAGTGAAGAAGTACAAACATGTACTACTATTGATCGAAGCTGCTTTACAAATCAACCTAAAGTTAGATCTACTTCAACATCACAAGAAGTTAACGAATGTACACAAGTAAATCATAGAGATATATGTCAACATTGCAACTTTCCAAAGGCTGATGTAAAAGTAATTTCAAATTCTGAAGAATGTTCGAGTTCTTCAAGAGTTGAAATAAAATCAACGAAAACGAGTTCAAATTCTTCGAAACTAACATCGTGTAAAGACGTAACTTCCTCGGCAAAATCGATGCAAGTACCCAAACGTCCATCTGTCTCTTTATCCAAGCCAATAAAAGGAATAAGTAGAACTTTAAAGCCAGAAACTACTGAAAAAGTTCAAATTTATGATGATGCTACTAAATATTCCAGCAGTTATGCTCCCTCCAACAATCTTGTTCAAAAGATCCCAATAAATAATTTATCTATTGTGATAGAGTCAAGTGAAGATGAAAGTTCGAGAAGAGAAAAAAATAAAGACGACAAGTATGCCGAAATTAGAGGTTATAATGCATTAAAGAAAGAAAAGATTTGTCGTGACTATGAAGAAATTATGTGCAAATTACCCTTCTTGCAGAAAAAGGAACGTATAGCTTCCATTGGTAAAGATGATCCTAAATATCATATGAGTGAAGAAAGAAGAAAAGAATATGAAAAAAGGAAAGAAAATACGATTGAAACTGCTTATGAAAATTGTTTTCCAAAAGCAGTAACGATTACGTTACCTAAAAGGGTATCCGCTGCAGACGAAGACAAATTGCCTTATAAAATAATAGACATGAGAAATGGACCTACAGGTATAAATTTAGGAACGTGGGACGTAAACAAGAAGGATTCCTCAGCACCTGAAAATGTTTGTTCATACACTCAAACAGTAAAACACCCAGAACAGTCTCCAACTCCAATTGAAAATGATGAAAATATGCTCAGGAATTTATTAGAAAAACTTATTGACCAAAAAGAGAAACTAGATAAAGAAGTTTCAAGAGTTCCAGAAGGAAGTAGGTTGCATCAAATTTTAAACGATTTAGAATGCGGATTTTATAACAAAAAAGAGCAAACTAAACAGGAATTGGAAAGTGACCATAAAAAGTTACAACAAAACGAATCGTGTAGTAAGCCAGCGAAATTGACGCTTGACCACGAAAATGTAAACTCTCAAGAATTAAAGGTGCATAATACTAGCACCCAGACTTCTCCAAGATCAAAGCAACTCACTGAACTACCTTCAACATTTGCATGTCCATGTATCGTCGAGCATAAAAAAAAAGATTCCTGTGAGAAATTATGCGAAATTGTAATTAAAGTAGGAGAAGAAGCGAACCAGCCCAAGATTCAAATCACACCAACATCGAATGATGAAAAAGGAGTCGTATTTACTGTGAAAGATTTAATGGAAAATCAAAGTAATAAAGGTAAATGCTAAAATGCTTTGTGAATGTTTTTATAAGTATATCTTGTATTAATTTTTTTATTTTAGCCTGTGATTTAAATAAACCTAAAAATATGCAAAAATCAGAAGATGCTACAGTAAGAGTCACTTCAAAAAAGCTAAAGACAGATTTGTATGCTGCAGTAACTGAACCACAAAAGATTGAAAAATCTTCGCCAGTAAGTAAAAAGATTTCCAGCAGTCAAGACAAAAAGTCTTGGAAAGATGTGCTTACTCAAAATTCTACAAATTGTACATCATCAACTTCATATGTGAGCCCACCAAATTTTACGTCTTCTGTTACAAAATATATAAAAGACAAACGAGAAAATAGCTCTGGCATGTATAACATTTTATGTAGAAAGCCTCAGCAAGGAAACTTAAATTATCATTTGTTGGAAAGCGAAAACACTTTACTTAAAGATAAACGTTCTAACCCCGAGTTATTAAATCATATAAAACATCTTTTAAGAATGTCCCATACAAGTATTGAAGAACTGAATGTGAGCAGTGTAAGTAGCGTTTCTACCCCTGATTCCACGCTTTTTGCAGGCGAAAAGAATAAAACTATATCACAACTAAGGAGTATTTGTAAACAATACAACTTACGTAAAAAAGATCTTGAAAAAATGTTCAGTGTTTTGAGTAGTAGTTCGAGTAATGGTGGTTGCGAATCTACTTCGTCATCTTATAAGTCCGCCTCGAATAATTGCATAAAATTAAAACGATCTGCTGAGAATGAAACTGAAAAGTTACCTTGTGGTACATCTGACTCTCTTCAAAAACTTTATGAAGAAATGACTGTTAAATGTATGGAGAAAATTGAAAGCCTTTCTGTACTTATTGAGAACTTAAGAGAAGAAAAAAATAAAATTATTTCATGTCAAGAACAAAGTGACAACGGTGATGTAGAAGACAGTTCAACAAAGTATTTAGAAATCGAAAAAAAGAGTCCAGTACTAGAATGTGATAATTCCGATAAAACAAAAACAGATAGTTCAGAATTTGTAACAAGTAGTCAGGGAGGTGAAGATTCATTGACAAAGAAATTACTTGAAATAGATGAAGCATTGACAGAACGAATTAAAAATTTAAGCAAATTAGAGAAATCATGCACCACTGATGATGCTCAACCACAGAATCAATACAAGAGTGCTGATAGTTCTGAAGAGGTAGACAATTCAATCGAAAAAGAATTGATTTATCGTTACAAAAATCTCGTGTACGATCACGAGAAGTGCGAAGATAAAACACAATCGGAAACGAAACCTAATTTCGTTCCCTTTGTCTCAGATATTTCATGTCTTCCGAAATGGGAAGGGCTTGGTCCTTATACTTCTCATACAGACGAAATGCCAAATAAATGTACTGCGAAACCTAATAAACCTCCTCCATCAAGAGGTCTTCTTAACGCAAAACGTTTTAACGATGAAATACTTAATTATCCACATGAGCTCTCGTCAATTACCGAAGTTGACAGCTTCACATCATCAAGAATACGGCGAAGTACATCCCCTAAAAGAAATTCGCCTAAACATACAGTAGAATTTGCACCCGATTACAATTGTGAACAAAATAAAAATACTGAGTGTAACGATGTAAGCTTCCCACGCCTAAATTCCAACTTTGAAGAATTAAAACTGTTACAAAGACAAAAAATTGTTTCTCAAATTTGTCCTTCTGCATCTGTAATTGAACAAGAAGTGGTTCCGCAAAAATGCACTAGAAGTGCATGTAGTTCCCCAAAAAAGATTGTCATAGATCGCCTTATCCATAGTGAACAAAATTCCCCTAAAAAAATGTGTTCAAGACCTCAGGAATTATATCAAAAAGGTGGAGAGGTTTTAAAGAGAGCTCGAGAACTTACTACACGAATACAAAATCTTTCCAAAAGTTTTGAACTTAGACCCTGTTCTCCGCCATGTGATAATCAAGAACAAAACATTAAAACATGCGAGGGATTAATTGAAGAAGTTCAATCTAAACCAAAAAGAAAAGTGGTAATAGAGGAGAATTCGAGTAGTGGATCAAATGAAAGTGCCACAGATGTAGAAAGTGTAGAAAAGATGCTAAAAAGTTTAGGAATGGGGTGGGCGGTTGCGACATTGCGCAAAACCCAACAAGCTTTGGCCCTTACCTCAAGTTCTAGCTCAGTAGATCTCAAGGTAGAACGAGAAGTAAAAATAACTGATAAAAATAGTTCTAGTGAAATTAGTCTTATTGAGTGTATTGAGCAGAGAAGACATGTAGGTGATTTACATAGTTCAAACGAAACCAATAATGATACTTCATTGCATAAATATCTGCAAAATGTTTCGTCCATACCAGCTTCCAATAGTACTTTTGGTAGGTCGACACAGCGTACTTCCACACCAGTTAATAAAAATGATACCACTATTCCCGCATCGAATTTAATTTATTCGGGAGAATCTGATCTGTCTTCCGTGAGACATTCTAGTGAAAATAAAAGTTCCAATTTTAATAGATGTGTAACAAATGAAAAGAGATCTAAAAGGTGACAAATAATTTAACGAATTTGTTATTAACAGGTATGCACTATTATCGGACAAATAAGTACAAATGTTTTTATCATCGACAATAATAGTTTTATGTATGTAAATTTAAAATTTTACAAGAAAAGATGCAGTAAACCATTGTATATNATCGATAATCACCGCATAGTCTCCAGCTGCCGTCCTTCTTTTTTCGTAGGAGGATTGCGCTGGCGTATGGGCTACCGGAGGGATTTAGGACCCCTTCGGCTAACTAGACTCGGATGATCTCTTCGGCGGCTTTATATCTCTCGGGAGAGAGTCGTCGAGCTCTTGCAGTGCAAGGTGGACCGCGGGTGTCGATGTAGTGTTGAACGTCGTGCTTGGGCTCCCTGAACCTCGCAGGTCGTGTGACCTCAACGTGCTTGCAGAGGATGTCGTGGTATTCTGCGGAGGTGTTGATGGTACTGAGCGTCGGGGCATCCGTGACGGTTACCTTTCCAGAGAAAGCCATTTTCGATGATCGGGTGGGATACGTCTGCCACTACGAAAGTCCACTCGAATGGTCGACGTAGACTGAAATCGACCATCAGCCTTTGTTCTCCGAACGTCGGGATCTCGGTCTTGTTAGCGGCGTAGAGTACCCTGCTGGTACACTTATTTGAGCTGGCGTATCGCTTTGGTAGCGTGGATACGTCAGCGACCGTGTCGATCAGAAAACTGGTGTTTGTCTTGCTGTCGGTCATGAGAAGGCGTTTTGGTTTGGGGACGTCTCCTGCGGCTGCCTGGATGCACGCCGGATTCGTTAGTTTCCCTGCGGCTTCCAAGCGCAGGGTGTCCTGCAATGGTACGCCTCTTTACCAAACTTCTTATGATAATAGCATACCTCTGGTTCGTTTGTTTCAGAATTTGCTCCATCCCATGGTCTGCTGACGCTGCGTTCTCGTGACCATCCGCGTCACCGTCCTCAAGAGCGGGAATCGCGCTTCTTCGAAGCCTCAAAGTCGCTGCGTAGCTGGTTGATTGCCAGCATGATCTGACCGAGGTCGTAGGCCTCCGGTAAAATGGTCCTTGTTATATCTGGAGAGACGGACGTCGAGCGATGCGCCACGTGAACTGCCGCTATCGATGGTCGAATTGTGTCCATGATACGGTCCGCTATCTCAGCCAGGTCGGACAGGTCGGTGTTCTTGCTTACAGCCAGGATGAATTGTACTTGCTCAGGGAGTTGCTCCAAGAAGAGTGCTCTCAGGATGGCGTCGTCACATCTTCCGCCAGCCAGGTTTCGCATTTTCTGGATGTACACCTTTGGTTTCGTGTCTCCCATCGGTTGGCCCCGGAGAAGTTTCTTCATCCTCGTTTCCGCGGAGTCTGCAAGTATGTTTTGAGCGATTCATACTTGCCATCTTCCGGTGGATTGTCGATGATGTCGCCCACGAGGTCGATGAGGTCCGGTTCCAAGGTGTTGATCACGTGCCTGTACTTCGTTGTGTCTGAGGTTATCTTGTGGAGTAGGAAAGTGTTCTCTACGACGGTGAAGTACTTGGCTGGGTTTGACGACGTTCAATGCGGCCACGTGGTTGTCGTTGGTCTGCTGCTCGTTAGAGATGTTGGACTTTTCGTCGTCCGGCATGCTGAAGAAGCTGTCGTAAAAAGGGAAGTCATCGTAGTCGTTCGTGGCGTGTAGGTCCGGTTTTTTTTCGAAATCCGTAAAACACCGAAAACTGAGTTTACCGGAAAAAAAAATATCACACGGTTCCGGTCCGCTATCACGTCGGAGTCACCAAATTTATGGGTTTCGACAAAGCGAGTCCATAATAAAGCGTGATGTTAATGGATAACTATTTTATTTCCACGAGGTAACACAAGTGAAAAGTAAAAAATAATTAGTAAGACTGTTGCTTATATTGTAACCATGACAATACTTCCGGTTGTTATGTGTGTATCGCCACAGTATTATCATGTGTGCTGCCACCTACACTACGTACTGAGAACCATTTTTGAAATTTGTAATATATAAAAATACAATACTGACTAATAGTTTGATTAAAAATTTTGAGGATTATGCAAAAAAAA